CTTAAGAGCTGTTTGTGGGGGACAACATCAAACGCCGCCTTGAAATCTAAGTAGATGACATCGTAGGCCTTTTTGTGATCAATTTCACTTGTAGCTTCCTCAAAGAACTCAAGTAGATTCGTTAAACAGGATCTACCTCTCCTAAATCAATGTTGGCTATCCCTCAGAATGTTATTTGCATCCAGGTAATCTACCATTTTCACTTGGATTATAGCTTCCATTATTTTTCCAGTAATGCTAGTTAAACTGATTGGCCTATAGTTTGCTGGATTACTTCTATCCCCTTTTTTTGAATATGGGTGCTTTAGCATGGGTGCTTTAGCATGGGTGCTTTTAGCATGCTTCCAATCTGAAGGTACCACACCCGCAGATAACGATTTCTGGAATATTAAAATTAACTACTTCAGTTAATTAATGAGCTGAGTCATCGGTGAAATGTGACAGAGACATTGAATGGTTGGGGTGCCCCTGAGGAGAGGTTTGGGAACCAATCCTGTGGTTTTCTAGGCATCCAAAGCTAGATCACTTTTTGTGGAACAGAAGAAATTCTTGTTACCTTTTACTATTTTATTATTATTATTATTATTATTTACTTTCATACTTTTTAAAAAACTTGATTTACTTTTACTTTTTTACTTTTTTTGTTTTTATTTTTTCTATTACTGTTTAATTGTACATATTCTTGTGTTAAACTGTGTTTTTTGGTAATGCTCAGGCAAATAGCTTTAAACAGTACTTTCTCTGGCATGCAATGGCTTTTGCACCATACTATAGTGGTGACTAAGAAAGAGGCAGATTGGTACCTGGCTGCCCCTGTAATCCTGGCTCTCCAGGTAAGCCCGGTAATCCAATCACTCCCTTCTCCCCTGGCTCTCCCGGAATACCTGCATAAAAATCAAGAAATTCACTGTATTTTTTAGCAGAGATAACGTATCATTTTTGATGCAGATGTATTTCATTGGAAAAGTCACAGATAATTAAAATGTTGTCTTATCTGAGCGATCACCTTGCGTGCCCTCTAACCCTACATCTCCCTTGGGTCCTGGTACTCCAGGCATTCCTGGTAAGCCGATGCTGCCCTTTTGGCCCTTGTGTCCTGGGTCCCCAGATGGACCAGTTTCGCCCACATGCCCCTGGATGCAGAAACATAGAATTTTGAATGTCTGTCTGACTTTCACATGCATATTTGCCAAATGAGATGTCCATACATTTTCTAACCAGTTATCCTGGTCAAGATCAGGATAGCCCTCGGGGACCCCTAGACCACATTTTTGCTCCCTGCCAGCTTCCTATCAGACACTCCACATTTTTGCTCCCTCCCAGCTTCTGGCACAGCAAAAGCATGGACTGTCTGGGGATCCCTGAGGACCAGGTTGGGAAACACTACCATAGAGCATAAAACTGGAGTAAAATCTGGACAGGATGCCAGTCCAGCACAGGTCACACATATGCTTATGTTCATAACAGGTGTTGACAGATGTTTTGGATGGGCGATAAAATTATCCAATATTAAGGTCCCACAAATTTATTGTCATTGGTGGAAAACCTGCTGATAAAGCATGATGATGTCTCGTTAAGCAATTAAGATGTTCAGATGAGCTCTTTCATTAGAGAGGCTGCTGAGAAGATATGTTTACTCCATTATATTATACCACTTTTAGCTTGGGATTATTAGTAAGTGATCCAATGCACTGTGAAAAACAAAATGATTTCTCACCTTAAGGCAAAAAGGTGGGGGGATTAGGACAACCAAAAAGTAAAAGCTTAAGTAAGAACACTAATAAACACACAGAATATCTATCACAATGTGTACATTATACAATGCAGGAAAAAAGCCTACCTTTTCTCCTTGGGGTCCCAGCACCCCAATTCCTGGCAGACCTGTGTCACCCTTTTGTCCTCTCTCCCCAGGTGTTCCAGGCATTCCTGGATGCCCAAGTGTTCCTGTGATTCCTTTTTCCCCTTGGGAACCAGTTGTACCTGAAGAATCACATTAACATAAGCTAGACCAATCTTTCCCAACCTGGTGATTGGGGACCCCCAGAAAGTCCACAGGACTTACTGTGCTAAACCATCCACAAATGTTCTTGTGAAATACTCATCCATACATTTACAGTCACCGTTCATCCATACCCAGGATTCATCACAGGACACATGTATACACACATAAATATTCACTCTAACAGATCCCTTCTCATACACATCCCTTTTCATACACAGCTAAGACAAAATTTGTCAAAATAATTTTTGACAAATATTATTAAATAGAGACGTATAGAGGTATGTGATGACATCGTATTAACCCTTACCTGGCATGCCCATACTTCCAGCAGCGCCTTTTTGTCCACGTAAGCCAAGTTCCCCCTGTTCTCCAGGTAAGCCAATGTCACCTTTCACACCTATGAGGCATTTATAGCAGCTGTGAAAGTTCTGTTATATTTCCATTGCTTGCATTATAAGTACAGTATCAGTCAAACATCTAGAAACACCTGCTTTTCATGCATTTGTCTCTGTTTCAGCTACATTACTCACTTTATAGTTAAAGGACTCAAGGCAACAACTTCCAGATGTAGCCACCTGCAATGCTTCTCCAACACTTATGAAGCTGTTTGCCCAAGTTCTGTGTACATGTTAGCTATTTGTCTCTAACTCCTTGATCCAACTCATCCCAAATCAGCTCTAAAGGGTTTTGGTCAGGGGATTATGGGGACTGGGTCATCTGTCGAAGCACTCCATAGCTTTCCTTATTCACAAGATAATAGTTATTTATACATAACCTGGAGGTTTGCTTAGGGTCATTATCTTGTTGAGAACAAATGACTTTCAGTAGGTGAGTCCAGACTTTTGACTGGTACTATATATTTTTTATTATTATTATTATTATTATTATTATTCAGCCATCCATTAACTTCCGCTTATCCGAGGTCGGGTCGCGGGGGCAGCAGTCTCAGCAGGGAAACCCAGACTTCCCTCTCCCCGGCCACTTCCTCCAGCTCCTCTGGGGGAATCTCGAGGTGTTCCCAGGCCAGCCGAGAGACATAACGAGAGAGCGTGTCCTGGGTCTTCCCCAGGGCCTCCTCCCAGTGGGACATGCCCGGAACACCTCACCAGGGAGGCGTCCAGGAGGCATCCTAAGCAGATGCCCAAGCCACCTCATCTGGCTCCTCTCAATGCGGAGGAGCAGCGGCTCTACTCTGAGTCCATCCTGAATGGCCGAGCTCCTCACCCTATCTCTATCTAGCCTGGGCACCCTATTGATGCTGCACCGCTTTCCCGCTCTGAGACGCCAGATGGTGGACCAGAATCTCCTCGAAGCTGTCCGGAAGTCGTTCTCCATGGCCTCGCCAAACTCCTCCCATACCTGAGTTTTTGCCTCAGCAACCACCGAAACCGCGTTCCACTTGGCCCGCTGGTACTCATCAGCTGCTTCCAGAGTCCCACAGGCTAAAAAGGCACCATAGGACTCCTTCTTCAGCTTGATGGCATCCCTCACCGCCGGTGTCCACCAGCGGGTTCGGAGATTGCCGCCGCAACAAGCATCGACCACCTTACGGCCACAGCTCCGGTCAGCCGCCTCCACAATGGAGGCGTGGAACATGGCCCATTTGGACTCAATGTCCCCCGCCTCCCCTGGGACATAGGCGAAATTCTGCCAGAGGCAGGAGTTCAAACTCCCTCTGACGGGGATTCCAACAGACGTTCCCAGCAGACCCACACTATACGCTTGGGCCTGCCAGGTCTGACCGGCTTCCTCCCCCATCAGTGGAGCCAACCCACCACCAGGTGGTGATCGGTTGACAGCTCCGCCCCTCTCCTCACCCGAGTGTCCAATACATGCGGCCGCAAGTCCGATGACACGACCACAAACTCGATCATCGAACTGCGGCCTAGGGTGTCCTGGTGCCAAGTGCACATATGGACACCCTTATGCTTGAACATGGTGTTCATTATTGACAATCCGTGACGAGTACAGAAGTCCAGCAACAAAACACCACTCGGGTTCAGATTGGGGGGGCCGTTCCTCCCAATCACGCCCCTCCAGGTCTCACTGTCATTGCCCACATGAGCCTTGAAGTCCCCCAGCAGAACAAGAGAGTCCCCAGGCGGAGTGCTCTCCAACACCCCTTCCAAGGACTCCAGAAAGGGTGGGTATTCTGAACTGCCGCTTGGTGCATAAGCGCAAACAACAGTCAGGACCTGTCCCCCCACCCGAAGGCGAAGGGAGGCTACCCTCTCGTCCACCGCGGTAAACCCCAATGTACAGGCGCCCAGCCAGGGGGCAATAAGTATGCCCACCCCTGCCCGGCTCCTCTCCCCGTGAGCAACTCAAGAAGGTCCAACCCCCCTCAAGGAGACTGGTTCCAGAGCCCAAGCCGTGCATCGAAGTGAGCCCGACTATATCTAGCCGGAACTTCACAACCTCGCGCACCAGCTCAGGCTCCTTCCCCATCAGAGAGGTGACATTCCATGTCCCAAGAGCTAGCTTCTGCAGCCGAGGATTGGACCACTGCAGCCTTCGGCCACTGCCCAACTCACACTGCACCCGACCCCTATGGCCCCTTCTACAGGTGGTGAGCCCATTAGAGGGATTATTATTATTATTATATTTTTTTATGTGCTCAGTGCTACGAGAAATGCTGATCTTAGTGCTAATTGTAATCTGATATTGAAAGATATGTTACTGCCTACGTACCCGAATGCCCAGGCAAACCCGGCTCTCCATCCTTTCCAGGCATGCCAGGACTTCCAGGCTGACCTGAGATTCCCTGCAACCCTGTATCTCCTTGGTTACCTAAGAAAAAAATGTACAGCTTCTTTTCAAACATCAGAATTATCAGAACCCAAAGAAATGCAGTCGTATTGAACAAGCATTAATTTTGCATGAGAGTAGATGCAGTATGATTTATAGCCAAAACTGGTTCAGAGATTATATCTCATAACAGCACCAAGCTCATTTACACAAAGGTTTCTATTATACCTGGGTCCCCTGGGTCACCCTTCACACCCTTGACTTGATGAATGTCCGTCGCACTTATGTTCCCCGGAGGCCCCTGGAGACCTCGTTCTCCACTTTCTCCTTTGGGTCCCATCTCGCCAATTTCCCCTTTTGGCCCAAGAGGTCCAGGGTCACCTATCAGAATGAGAAAGTAGTGATGGATGTCACAGATGAGGGTGTCTCTAAAAATTTTGGATCCTAAGAAACCATATCATCTTTGGCCCCTAACATGAAAGCATATCATATTTGGCCCCTTATGTTTTAGGGCCCCTGTCACTCAGGGGCCTATAGAACACAAACAGAAACTGAGGAATGGGAATTAACACAGCTAAATGCATAGACTCTGTATGATGTAATTCCATTGCTGAACGCTAAGGGTATCTGAACCATAAATTCCTTTTATTAGAGTTGTCTTTGCTCACACATACACTAGGGTGTGCTAGAAGTGTGCTGCTGACATATAACCCTGTTTGCGCACCAAGATGAAACCCTCCTTTGTACTCCTATCCTTCCCAGCCTCGACTAGTAAGATAACGAGTCTCAATGATTGGCCCAGGTGCAACAACTAGAGGTATAATGTTCTGCAAAGTTCTAGGCAATACTATCTCTAAATTATGCAGCAATCGGTCTCCTACTGAAGGCCCTATAACTGTCTGGAGAACCTGTTCACCTGTGCTCACTGCCTCAGCACTTGTTGATGTGTATGTACCGGGCAGGGGGGGGGGATTGGAATTAGAAATTGTATGCAAAGCTGAATTGATAAAGTTTGTTAGTCCAAGTAGAAAATAAAATATTCTCTTTATAGAAGAATCAAATCTCTGACTGAAATTCCTACAACAGGCCCTAGGATTCATCTACTCTCCCCCTCTATTTTTGCAGCAAAGAAATTCCGCAAAGCTATGGGCATTGTTTTACAATTCCAAATTAACCAGAAGAGATTTCTGAAGCCATGAATGGTTTCTGCTGCCTCTGAATGGCTCTTGCTGTGCATGCCTGGATGAGGTCACAGACACAGTCATCACTCTAAAGTGTCACAAAGCACACATGCCATTTCCGTATCAGGTAGATACGTATCAGCCTAGAATATACGGAATATATGGTTAAATTCCAGCTTTTCCTATTGAATAACATGAAAAAATGTTGAGTGACATCTAAATTATTTTTTTTAGTTTATATTATATGATCATTGATGTATATATACATATGTATATACATATACTGTATATAAATACATATATATACTATATATAGTATAGTATATATAATAATAATTAATAATTTTAAAATAATAATAATTATGAGTATCTGCAAGATGGACCTATGTAAAATTAATTTATTTGCCCTTAGATTTTATGCAGTTCTATGACTACATATTTGCACGTTGAATGCCATTATTCAAGCTACAGTGTCCTTTGACAGCATTAGTTTCCTCTTTGATCTTTTGAGACGAAGGGCTGATTTGTATTCAGCATGGCAGCTGCGTTACCTTGAAGTCCTAGAGCTCCTGGACTTCCCGGGAGACCCAGATTCCCTGGCTGACCAGGGGGCCCCATTGATCCCATTTCTCCTTTATGCCCTAGGAATGACAAATAAATAGCTATGGACCATAAATGCGAACGTGACAGAGCGATATCCAGTGTCACATCATTAATTGTTGCTGATGCTGAAATCAGAGTGTGATTGCACCTCGGAATCCAGGAAAGCCGTCTCTTCCCACAGAACCTTCTTTGCCCGGAAGTCCTTTAGCCCCCAGGAGTCCTGGAAAACCCGGAATGCCCTTCTCTCCTGCAGGCCCAGGTATGTCTAAACCAGGCAAACCAGGATAGCCCTTCTCCCCCTTCTCGCCAGTGCTACCTGTAAACGGTGTAAAAGTTACAATATGATTACGGCCCATTTTAATTGTGGTCATGTGTTTGTTCGTTTTTAATTCCACAGCAGACCAGTGTTTCTGGGCTCACTGCAAGGGTCTTTGTGATGACAAGTGAACTAACCAGGAGGTCCAGGTAAACCAGGAGGGCCAGTAGCTCCAGCAGGCCCAGGGTCACCTCTCCCAGCAGGGCCAGGTGGACCTGCAATTCCGTGCTGACCAATGGGACCAGAGTCACCTGGCAACAAAAAACAAAGTGTGGTCTATTCTGAGATTTAAAACGTTCTTATATAATTAAACTGAGAATTTCATTCCGTAATCTTTTCTCCATAATGTTCACATTCTTTCAGATGCTATAATGTTATCATACCAAAGTCTTGTCTACACTGTAAAAATAGGTGATAATTATAACATTAATATAAAGAATTAAGTAGTAACCCTCTGATTAGGGCTGGGCAAGATGAAACAAAAACCATATCTCAGTATTTTCAGGCAGAATAGCAATACACAATTGCAATGTTTCCTTCCCTGTTTGCAAATATACAACAATACAAATTATACAAATTATCTATAGAAAAAAATATTAATTTCAAATAGACATCTAAAAATAAGGACAAAAATAAGTTATCTCTATCACTCCATTATTTTCACCAATGGTTTATGACATAGTTCTCAAAACAGAAGGTGAAGTTTTAGCACCAAAAAAATGACCTAAATCTCACAGTCCAAATTTGAACACATCACAGAATTATATTGATACAAACGTATTGTCTCGTCCTATATCTCATTTGAAAATACACTGATAAACAGCTCAGCCCCACCACTGATGGATTTGAGGCTGCATGGGCTCATTCAGTGCCAACAGCAGCATACCTTTAATCCCTTGAGGTCCAGGTGGCCCTATTTGGCCTAAATGTCCTGGATCTCCGGAATGCCCAACACTGCCTTTTTCTCCGGGAAATCCTGGGACTCCCTGAGACCCTTGCGGACCCCTGGGCCCTGTCAGGCCCAGCCCTGGTTCACCCTGAAACCCAGTGAAACATCTTATTGTCAGATTAGAAACTAAAACATATACACACGCAACAAAGGCAAGTTAAAAAATCCCAAAAAATTACCTTTATTTACAAGAAACCATCAGTTTTATCTTTGGAGAAGGTACCTCTTCACTGTGCATGTGTGCAAAATACACTTGAACCCACTTCTATATATGTAGGCTCATCTCAACAATAAACAGCAAAGTTGTTTTAAACTTAATTGTTTTATAGCTACTGGCTGCTTTATGGAGCACAACAGCATTTTGGTTCATTGAATTTTTGTAACGTCTTCCCCATATCTTCCCCATGCTGGTGGATAACTGAAGGAGTATAGCCTGTGTGTCATTTCATATTCACACCCCGGTGACACAGGAAGTCATGGATGAGCACTTAAGAGATTCTGAAGACTGATGTGCTTAAAAAGCCCAGTTTGATTAGGTATATACTACAACTTTATTCCAGTTTGATTAGGTATATACTACAACTATAATTTAATTTGATTAGGTATATACTACAACTATATTTTAATCACAAAAATTGAAGCTATGGGTGCCAAAAAATGTAAGTAGTTTTTATTAAGATTTTGTTAGATAATTTTACCTGATATTCCTCCTATACTTTACTTAAGCTGATAAAACGTCTTTATCATGGTTGCTGATCATTCTAAAGGGCACTGTAGCTAGGCCACATCTTTCATTTGTGTATTTATTTGAATCTAGGATCAATTTGCTATGTGTCTCTGTCATATATACCTTTTGCCCTGGTTCACCAGGAAACCCAGCTGAACCGCCCAATCCTGTAGGTCCTGGCTCTCCTGGCAGACCTGGAGCCCCTGGTATTCCTGAGTATCCTGAGATATAAAAAACATCGATGGCAGACCATACAAAACACAAGGAAAATTAAATATTTCATTAAACTTTTCTAAGTTCCCCTGGTAATGGGTATACCATGCAGAGATTATGTACCTTTAGGCCCTGGAATTCCAGGCAACCCAGTCCCAGGTAAGCCGTGATCACCCTTCTGCCCTGGGACACCTTGCAGTCCATGGTCACCCTGATGTCCTTGCATACCTAGTAAATATGTAACAGAAATGTCACAATAATTTTTGCAGACCTCATTGAAAATCAAGTAGATTTATTCTGCATATCAGAAAGATCAGACCTTATCTATCAGAATATGTAGCTCAACTCATTGTCCCAGCACTTGTCATCTCACGATGACTGTAACTTTTACTGAAGTGCTCCCAGCATATTCTGAGAAACGACTGCAGATGATTCTACACACAGTAGTGTGCGTGATATACAGTCATCCTTGTCTCCCACCCTTGGCGTCCTACAGGCGCTTGCATCAAAGCCAAGTCGTTAGCAATTCTTTTCAGTGCTGTTATTAAGTCGCACATTAGGACCCATCGTGCCCTCTACAGTGAACAAGAGAATGACGGATGGTGATTCCTCTATCATGTGAAATAAGTCTTGCACTAGTTCCTCATGTATGGCTCCGCCATGTTAGAACATGTTTCCTAACTACATTCAGTCTGCAGAATTCTTCGCGACCTTCAACAAAAGTCTTACTACCCATCTTTTAAGATTAATGCATGATTTCAACTAAATCATTAATTTCTTTTTAATACCTTTTTATGATCTCAACAAAGAAAAAATAAAAATAGAGATTAGATATGTACTGTGTCAGAAAACTATCAGTATCAGCTGATACAGCAATAACTGGCCGATGGTTAAAGGGTGCCCATATCGCTTTGCACACCCACATACTAAACAGTCATAAAAATGACTGCTGCAATTATTTTAAAGTTGTTAGAAATGCATTTTGCTAATATTGCTCTGTTAAAATTTCACAAGGAGGATCTACTCATAAACATTTCAACACACCAAATTTGACTGCTCACCTTAAGGCGAGACAGTGAAGAGTATGAAGAGATTCTGAAAAACAAATCTGTCCCAATAAAGATGGCTGCAGTGCTGCTGAATAATGCTATTTTGTCAGTAACACAAGCGTTTGATGGCAAAAGAAAATTCAGTGCAGACAGTGTGAAACCAAAAGATATTACTTGGAAAATTATGGAGTTTATCACACTTGATGATCAGCCCTTCTCTGGTATAAATGATATAAATATATAAGATGTATACAGTTATAAAATATAGTGCTCTGGGACTGTTGTTTAATGCCAGAGTTGGTGTTTTCTTACCAAAAAACAAATACTTTTTTCATATTTTTGGAATGTAATTTATATATTTTTTTTATTTATTTGTGTGGAGTGTCCGCTTAAACTTATGTAAGCAGAACCTCCCAAACAATCGGAATTGGTGGTAGTTTTCAAAATAATTAGCTATCAGTATCGACCAGATATTTCCTTATCAGTGCATCACTAATAAAGATATTTGGCCATTTGCAGCCACCCTACAATGTCATGTTTCTCTCATGAAAGCCTAAGTTCCAGTTTTGCACAGAACTACCAGTTTCAAAGATTCATTTAAAAAGAAACCAAGGAAGGGCCAAGTAAATGTAAATGATTACTCAGCTGGTCTTCAGGGAAAATCTCAGACTTTAATATCTACACTAAAGACTTTTAACTAGAAACATTGCCTTGTCTCTTTTGGAAATACCTACTAGTAAGCTCACACTAATACTGACCCATCACCGGTTCACTATTTTGATTTGTGCTTCCATTGAAATGGTCTTACTTGTCACTACTGGATGCTATGTTCATCTGTTTCACACATAGATTCAGTTCCTCCTAGATACTCCTATTATAAGGGGGATAGTGTGTGACTCTGTGGGTTAGGACACTTGGAAGGTTGCCAATTCAAATTCTGTGGTCGGTAGAGTGATTTTACCATTAGGTTCTTGGCCAAGGACCTTAACCCAAAGACTGGAAAACCCTATTCAATATTTAAGACTATCAGAACTCACCAAGCAGTCCAGGGATTCCTGCCTCTCCCAGCAGCCCAGGTGGGCCCTGAGGTCCAAGTGAAGTGACGCCATATCCAGGTATACCTTTAGGTCCTAAAATGAAGAACAGATGTTGCTCCATGTATCTTTAAATGTTTTGTAATCCATAATCAACTTCAAAATACATACACTCAGTGGCCACGTTACTAGGTCTACTTACTTGTAGGTACTACTTGGTAGGATTCACTTTACTTGGTAGGATTCACTTTACTTGGTAGGATTCACTTTTGCCTCCAAAACCACTTAAATGGTAAGTGTATGGAACTGTTATTTTTGCCTTTGTGGCCTTCCCTATCTTTAACAAGCATGACCATTCTCTTGTGACCTCTCACATCAACAAGGTGTTTTCATCGACCAAAATGCCATTGACTGGGGGTTTTTGTTTATCGCACAAATATCTGTAAACTTTTCATTGCACACTGTAGTGGATGAAAATTGAAGGAGAGTGGCCATTTCAGTTATGCTGCAACCACCAACAATCACGCATTCAAAATCCTTTTGATCATGTAGTTTAGCCATTCTAATGCTTAGCTGAAAAGTAAGTGTACCTCTTGACCTGTCTGTGTTTTATATGTGTTCAGTTGCATCCACATTATTTGCTGTTTAGAGGAACACATTATTTACATAAACAAATAGGTGTACCCAATAAACTGGCCACTGAGTAAATGTCCATATACCAGACCCTTAACTCCCTGGGGTCTGAGGCCTCTCAGCCACTTTCGGGGTAGTCTGACATGCCTTGACATTTTAAAATATTTCACCTCTCTAAAAAACATTTATCCCAAAGTGTTACATTTGCTTTTATTCAGCACAAACTCAGCACCAATAATCTGAGACCTCTTAGAATGTTAGTATTCTATTTTTTGTTAAAATCAACTTTAAACATATACTTTTCAAAAACCTATTTTCAGACATGCTGAGAAATTGTAAAAAATCACATTATAGACATTTCTAGGTAAGACTTTTGAGCTCTGAAGCTTATAGACACAGGGGTTGGCTACACATAGGTGAAAGTGACATTCTGAAATTGTATGTGGTTTGATTACTAAAGTGTTAGCACTTTAGAGTGAAACTCTTTTTCTCAAAGTCAGTGGCCTTCACAATGAATATTGATGAGATAGGTGTCCTCACACCTGTAGTAGTTGGATAAACCTTTATTTAATTCTGACAATATCATAACTTTTTTTAAGCTACCTACCTGGAGCACCTGCTACTCCTTTACGGCCTGCCGGCCCTGGACTGCCCTTCTCACCAGGCTCCCCAGTATGTCCAAAGCCAGGAATACCAGGAGGACCCCTTTCTCCTGGAAGTCCAATTGCACCAGCATCTCCATCTAAACCTCGATCTCCCTTAATACCCACAATTGGCTGAAATATATAAAAACAAATCAAGCAAAATGAAGAATGACTGAACCACTAACTGAACAACTACTGCTAGCAGAGTAGTTGTTATTGCTGCAGTCTACATAGTCTACACAGCGCTGTTATAATAATGAGCTCATGTGATACTGACTGAGTCTCCTTTGGTTCCAGGAATGCCAGGAAACCCGTCTGGTCCAGGGATTCCATCTGGACCTGGCAGTCCTCTGGTGCCATCAGCACCTGAGGCTCCCTTCTCGCCCTTTAGCCCTGGTGCTACGAAGATATCTCCTGGCTCACCATGAGCCCCTGGAGCACCTATCAGTCCTGGAGAGCCATCGATACCCTGTGCAGGTGCACACAATCAAACTGACAATGGCTGCATTCCCAAATTTCCAGAAAGGAAAGGTGGAAGAAGATCCATCATTTTAACTCACCGGATTCCCACGAGGGCCAACAGGTCCAAGCTCACCTTTTGGTCCTTTACTTCCCTCAAGCCCAGGAGCACCTGTCATTGAAATTAGCAGCACATTTGCAACATGGAAAAAATCCTCTGTATATCTTTGGCATATCAAGTATGGGCAGATACCTATATATCATATAAACTTGATTAATGTCATCCACATCAGCTATGTAGAATAGTCCTATCTATAACCTTTATTGTACTTATATGACATTGTTAAGTACAAATCAATAACCTGAGCCCAATAACGGTCACAAAATCATCCATTCTAAATAGGAAAGTCACTACATTTCTGCATATTATGCTTCAATATTTTACTTCTAAACGTCTGTTTATTCACTTTACCCTGCTCTCCAGTTGGTCCCTGAGGGCCTGGGGATCCAGGACTCCCAGAATCTTCACACTGCACACAGGTGTCTCCTTTATCACCTGTGCAGAACAACACAGGAATAGATGGTAAAGTAACATTGCTAGTCTTATAATGATAATGTCAAACCTCAAATCTACCTTTCTGTCCCACTTCACCAGACAGGCCAGGAGGTCCTTGATCTCCCACGGCTCCTATGTCAATATTGCAATCTTCATCACCTATGGCACCAACAGAGATACACATTATAGAAGGTAAGTGTCCAGTTAATAAAAAGTCAGACTGCTGCAGAGTCTGCTGTTCAGAGCAATGTTTCTAACTAACGTTGAGTATCAAAATTTCCACATGAGTAGCAGGTGGTGTAATGGTTAGACATATGGACTAACTATTATACGTTTTACTTGTGATCCATCCTATATTGTTTCAAACAATCTATTTACCCAGGGAATAAGTTGTTGCTGCAGTTACCATCATGGGGATGAAAACATATATCAACACTAATACTTTTGCTAACCATTATCTCAACTCACAATAAAGACATATTACTGCACATGAATGTCCAATCTGGGTCATACGGTGCGTGTTGACAACTTTTACCTGGAGGCCCACGTGGCCCAGGGGGTCCTGACGGCCCTTGTTTTCCGCTTGGTCCTGGCAGCGATTCCCCACCAGGACCCTTGTCTCCCTTCTCACCAGACTCTCCTGGGAGCCCTTCAGTGCCTCGTGGACCCTCAATAATTACCCCTGTAATAGGCCATCAGAATTTTTTCCCACAAAATGATACTAGATCCCAAGACTATTCATTGAATTAATATTATCTAACATTGACAGATGAAGAAACAGACATTGACAGATGAAGCGATTGAAATATAGAAACAGGGCCTCCCATAAGGAAGGAAGAAAGGGGAAAATTTTCAGGGACCCAGGCACTATGGTGGGGGGACATGAGTATTTGACCATGGATAATGATAATTTTGGTTTGGAGAAGGGGGCACTATTTGGTAGAATTTTTAAGGTGCCCAGCCATGTCTTTTTGTGGCCCTGTATTGAGATACAATGACTGCTATTTATATGGATTGAGTTACCTGGAGGGCCAGGATCTCCCAGAAGTCCAGGGACACCTGTCAGGAAAAACCAGACAATATGATTTTAATGAGAAAATATATTTTTAAATGAGCCTATTACACACACCTGAAAATCCACACATGGAAATGCAAAAAGTGCAAATGTAAAAATGAAAATAGAATGCACTGCTTTGGAAAGCCATGGGTTGCAAAGCCTTACCAAAGTGTACATACCTTGTTCTCCTTTTAAACCTGGGGACCCAGGGCTGCCTGGAGGGCCAGGTTCTCTATCAATCTGTTTCAATCAGGTTTAGCCCCACATCAGTCAAATGTGCATCAAAATCATTTCAATATTAAACATGCATTTTCATTCAGCAAAACGTAAACATCTCTCCTTTTGAACAGCAAGACGTGAAAGTCCTACAAAAGCAGCCTGATTTACTCACATATCCAGGGGGTCCCCTGTCACCCTTTTCACCCTGTAAGAAGAATAAAAGATATTAATACCTAAAGTGGGTTGTGGTTTTAAAACCCACCCCGGCTCTGTGTGTGTGGAGCAGGTTTTCCCCATGTGTTTTTCTGGTACTTTGGTTTTCTCTCACTGTCCAAAGACAAGTAGAGAGGCCCCTGGGTACCTGCTTCTCTCCAATGGCTAAGCAGTTGAAAGATCGATAGAGAGAAATTTATTGTGATTCATATTGAAATTATGTATGTAAAAATGCAGGATGAGTGAACCACCAATGGTATCAACCATAAAATCTCTTTTTGTGTAAGACAGTTGTTTAGTTAACAGGGTGGATACCAGGGGAGGACATTTCATTTCCAGAAAGTAAAAATCCAAACCAGGATTTTGTTTCAACCAACCAGTTGAATACTCTGTGACTGTTACTCTTTATACTCAGCTGGTTGGTTGAAATAAAATCCTGGTTTGGATTTTTACCTCTTTGGGCCTGAATTGTCCGCCTCTGGTGGATACAGTGCATTTCTCCTAGTCATATAGATATTAACATCGACACGTTAACGACATTTCTAAGTTTCTAAGTTACTCTGGTGTGAAATCACAAAGTAATTTTGATATGACTGATGTGAGTGAGAGAACATGAAAGTTACCAGCCATCCATCAATTCCAGGTAGTCCAGGCAAGCCTCTCAATCCCTATTAGAAAGAGCCAAATACATTTTACTGTCTGGAGAACCCGCCATTTTAATTTGAAGCAAAGCTCAATTAAATATTTATTAAAGTCCTTGGCGTATTTCTGCATCTTTCAGTTCTAGGTGTTATAATGTTAAATGATTGGAACTTACTTTTGCACCATTCTCTCCATCTTTCCCTGGTTTACCCTGAAAGAAAAAAGAAACTGTATTTTCTGCATTTTTTTGTTTCTGCCAAGCATCTGGATAAATTTATGACAGAAAACCAGAAACTAGTTGGTGATTTCATTATTACATACATCATATACAGCCTAAGAGTAAAGTATATTAAAAGGCTCTGCAGATAGGCATCACTCACTCTTGGTCCTGGAGAGCCAGGTTCACCTTTGTTTTCACTTGGACATTTTCCCTGCAGAGAAATGCAAAGATTACAGCATTGTGTGCCAAAACATTATGTAAAATGTGTAACATGAACAATGCATTATCAAAATTTTATAGTAGAACTCAAGTTAATGAATACGACTGCAGTTTATCTTTTTAAAAATTTAAACATTTCTGGTGGCCATATGCCCGGCAGCTCTAAACTATCTGGTGTGTACTATGCACCATGTGGAAAGCACCGTACTGTATGACAGTGTGACTATCCCAGCCTCACACGCATCTCCCAGTCTCATTCTCACACCTAAAAGTAAGTGCAATTATCCCTGGGCTGAATGGCCTCCTCTTGTTTGTAAATTTCTTATGTAACCCAGTCATAAGTCGGGGGCAGTCTGTATGTACACTAACAGTCATTGCATTTGTCACCTAAAGAAAGTATTGTATTTTTAACTGGCTGCTTGGAGAGCAATTGAGGGTTATGTCATACAGTAACTTACTTTCTCTCCTTTGTCACCAACTTCACCTTTGTCTCCCTATAAAAATGTATATATTAATCCATACTGAAACACGGCTTTTGAGAGAAATGATTGTCATCCTACGTATAATGACATACTTATTATTACAATTTTATTATTCCATGCCAGTACCTTGGGTCCTAGTATATACTCAGTAGGAGAACCCTGCACATGATAGATGCGTGCGGGGGGTCCTGGCTCCCCCCTGGGTCCTCGCAGCCCCTACCAAACAAAGACTATGAACTGAAAGGCCTGAAAAATCAAACCTCTCAAGGTACGTGGAACTACAGTAAATAACTCACCAACCTTTTCTCCCTTTTCACCTAAAAATGACAGCTTGTCACCCTACGATAAGGAGAAATAAAATAAGATATAGTTAGATGCTCATTGACACAGCATGGCATGAAGTAAAAAAACACATGTGCTTGCTTACCATCTCTCCTGGGAGGCCAGGAGTCCCTGGAAGTCCCTGCAAAGGCACATGTTTACTGAGCTTACTCAGGATTCATCCAAATTTACTCAATATGAGTAAACCCTCTACTGTAATTAAAAATGTCATGCAAAGGCACATGTTTACTGAGCTTACTCAGGATTCATCCAAATTTACTCAATATGCAAAGGCACATGTTTACTGAGCTTACTCAGGATTCATCCAAATTTACTCAATATGAGTAAACCCTCTACTGTAATTAACTGTACTGTAAATGATCTACTGCACTCAAGGGCATTAACAGATCACGTCTAAAAGCAGACTTTATGTAATACTTTATAAAATTTGCCAAACAAAAACTAAATATGATGGTCCTGCTTACTTCAGATCCCTGTGGTCCTGGTGGTCCAATTGGTCCTGCGATTCCAGGAAAACCTTGTTGTCCCTGTTGAAATAAGCAGAATGTATCTATGGTGTGCCGGACCATAACGGTCCAGATTACATTGTAACTAGGGATGCACCGATTCAGGTTTTTTGACTCCGATACCGATTCCGTTTTTTGGTGTATGTGGATC